GGGAGAGTAAAAAGTCCCACTCGCCAAACACACACACACACATCTTATCAGAAAAATCTTTATGTATTGGGAAACTGTCAAGCTCACCGCTGCTATCTTTAATTCAGAAGTCTGTATCTCCAGCCCAGACCCCTCCACGGAGTTCCAGACTTACTTATCCAACTATCTACTTGACACCTCTCTGCTCTCTCAAAGGCCTCTCAAACTCAGCATGACAAAAGTGTACTTGGTCTTTCTGCTCAAACCTGGTCCTGTGCCATGTCCCTAGACAGAGAATCACCAGTAGGAACTGGAGGCAGAGATCTCTGAGATGCTCTCTCCCTCACTACATCTGCTCCCACAAACCCATGCCTGAGTCCTGTCACGGCTAAGTCCTATTATGATGTGCTAATGGCCACATCTGTGCACAGGAAACCCCCAGCTGGACATAGACGGAAACTCTTAGGTCACACGTCACAGGCTTAGGAAAGGGAAAGCTGGGGGCGCCTGGCTGGCTCACTTGGTGGAGCATATGACTCTTGATCTCAGGGTTGTGAGTTCGAGCCCCATATTAGGTGTATAGATTACTTAAAAATAAAAAATAAAGAGCGTCTGGGTGGCTCGATCAATTAAGCGTCTGCCTTTGGCTCGGGTCATGATCCCAGGCACTGGAATCAAACCCCACGTCGGGCTCCCTGCTCGGTGGGGAGTCTGCTTCTCCCTCTTCCTCTGCCGCTCTCCCCACTCGTGTGCTCTCTCTTTCAAATAAATAAGTATCTTAGCAAAAGATAAAAATAAAAAAGGAAAGGGAAAACTGCTCCACAGTTAGCTCAGCAAGAAGTTCAGGGCTCAACACCCGTCTCTAGGTTTCGGTGACATGGCTTCTTAAGCGACAGAATTAATTCTTTTTATGGCAGTATAAGATGCCCCTTCCATTTGGGTCTGGTCCTGGGGCCGATCAGGACAAGTTTGTTGGGTGCCAAGGACCTGCTGCCGAGGGGCAAGAGATGTGCTCTCAAACTCCCATTCCGCTTCCTAGGCCAGATGACGGAAGAATGGGAAGACGGCCCCTCTTTCCCACCACAGAATAAATCAGGGGACATATTCTGACTCCTTATGTTGTTAAACCTTGTGAAACTAGAAGGGACTGTTCAAATGAGGAGGGATAAAAAGTTGAAATCTACATAGCCCCATAGTGAAACTCGGAAGGCTTCTCCATTGCTGCATCCAGTCAACACTGTCTTGCTGCCTCTTGTCAGGGCCGAAGGCGGCCAAGATGGCAGAGCTTTGAAATTAAGTGGAACTGACCCAAGACCATCCCCTTTGTAAACCAGAGCAATTCCCACAACCTGAGGGTAAATGAACCAACCCCCACCTTTAGGCATGGAGTCAGAGCAAATCAGCTAGCTATATGTAAGAGGAATAAAAGGAAGATGTGCATAGTTTCTAAGAAATTTATTTGATCAAATGACAGTATATGAAGATATTTTCAACTATAAGGCTCTATTCGGACACAATGTCAATTGATTATGAAGTAAATGGTATCAATGTCAATGGCACCTAAAAACAGAAAGAATGAGTTTCCTATAAATGTGTCTGTATAAAGCATTCATAAAATCCTCATGTACTTTAAAACTAGGTTGCAAGTGTAACAGATTAACCTATAAATAGTATTTAAAAGCAGGTTTCTGAAATGACACAATATGTCATTACACACAAGGTATCCGGGGCTCCCGGGAGAAGCAAAGAAAGGCTGTCCGTGAGGAAATGTGTCATCCCTGGAGCAAAACTGAAGCGTGTTTACACTGCAGCCTTGAGTTCCCTACACACTAGTCTGTCCTTTCAATTCCTTGGGAATTGGAATTGAACAGGTGGGAATTTCTATTCACTCTCATTGGAAATAGTTAAAAAACGAGGCTGGAAAACCAGGGTTGGAAAAAAGGGAGGGGAAAGAGAGGCATGGCCAGGTCTGAGGTTTCTGCAAAGCAGCTTTAGAAACGTCCAAAGAAATGGACACAAGAAATAACTGTGAATCCTCAGAGCTGCTCCCTGGGGTCCGCAGGGAGGAGGGCACCACACAGCCCCCCGGTGGGCGTGCACAGGCTGACCCGCACTCCCAAGCGCTTGCTGGGGGGTGCCACCCACACACTGGCGGGACGATTTTCCCTGGAGGCTGGAGTCATTCCCCGGGTGCGCCAGGAACAGGGCAGAATGTGTAGGTTACATCAACTTTCCCCACAGATTTTTTTCCAGCATCCAAGAGGGCTCTGCCTTTGGGGCCAGGATCGGACCTGGGAGGCAGGAATTGGCAGTTCCAAGTTATAAAACCAGAAAAGCTTCAGACACGTGGAAGGAGAACGAGATAGGAAGGCCGTATCTCCCAGGGTGCAGACTATTGGCGGCGAAGCACAAAGGTGTCCAACGGTGAAAGGGCAACTGAACCGTAGGGAGCAGTGAAGGAGATCCCAGAAAGCAACGGGTGGTAACTGACAATTATATAGCACCCATTATTACTAATTTAAGATATACAAACATCATTGGGTTTCTGTCTAGTATCTGTGCTATTATTTTATAAATATGAGGGCTTTCAAAATATTACAAATGACACATTCTGGTATAAATGTTACAATCCTGATTCATACAACAGACTTGATGTACATTTAAACCTAGTAGATGTGGGGTTATATATAGAATAATTTTTGCAGATCATTTTCTGAACCTTGGTCACACAGCTAAGTGAACACCAAAAAGCACAGGAAGCATCTTATTGGTGGCTTTGGCAGCAAACATGTTTTTTTGTTGTTGTTGTTTATGTATTTATGCCTCACACAAAGATACACTTGTTCACTTGTATAAATGAATTCAGAGCCATCCACAGGAGATCTTACACTTAAAACTCTTTTCTGTTTTCTCATCTGCTTCTTGGATATCAAGTCTATGTGGGAGGGCTACTCAGTGGCTTACATCTCCTTTTCTCTGAGCCTCATTGTCTTGCTTAGACGTGTGTATTTAAAAATAGTTTCACGTTTCCCATTCAGGCTAAGTGGCTCTTTTAAGATTCCTAAGCTTGAGATTACAATCTTCATTGTGAATGACACTGACGTGCGCGCACAAGCACACACAGGTTTTGATAAAAACAGTAAATGCATTCCGATCATCTAGTTTTAGCAGCGTGCCTTTAAAAATGTTTCTTCCCAGTGCTGCAGAAAATAACCTCTAAACACATGCATGTGGATCGTTAGAGATGACCCTTCCCACTGTCTCATCATGGCAAAGTGAGACACACCTGAAGATGGGTCAGGCTAAGAAACCCCAAGCTTCTGTGGATCCACAGAACATTAAAGATGTGGCCTCAGCAGAATCTAAAATTACTTTCTCTTCAGGGAAGGGTGTCGTATCTAATTACTCTATAGAGTGATTTTGTAAATTAGTCTTCTGCATGTGGAAACTAAATGGTCTACGTGATCTTACCCCGACAGTTAGAGGAACGCAGGACCAGAGTCATTACGTTACAGTCACCTCACGTGGGAGCTCAGGCACAGCAAGGGACCGAATGAATCTTTACAGTCTTAAAGCCAAGGTTAAGTCCATTCACCTGTGCTTCATTTCCCCCAAATAAATTTATAATTTAGGAAACTGAAGCGGCCATGCTAATCGTGAAGTGAAATCAGCCTTCCCACTGTGGTGTTAATAAGGCAACATCTGATCAAGATGTTAGGAGCTGGATTCCCAGTCTGTGGAAATTTTCTTAGGAGTGACCGAGCATGTAAATTTAACTCAAGTGAAATTACTAAAATAATTAGCCTAAAAAAATGGATTTAGGAAAGTGAGGTGACCCTCGAGTGGCTTATCTAACTTCTCTGACAGAAATCACCTTTGGACAAGACAGGCCGCTTTGGGCTCAGCTTACCTGAAAGTAACTTCATTGGGAACTTCTCTTAGCCATTTACTATAACAGGGGGCTGACTCAAGTTGGTTCTAGTGGGTCAAATAAAATCAGCATGATGTATGATATAGCATAGTCGATCAATGGGCTTCACCCGATTGAGTGCCCCGGTCACCCTGACCAGTCTGACCGATGGTTTCTGCGAACTTCTCACTTGCCACCAGCCGAATAACACTGTTTCCTGAAACATGATTCCAGTAGGAAAGAGAGATTTACGATCAAAGCCGTCACAGCAACATCTAGGTTGGGTGCCCATGGCACGGCCTATGGGAAACTGTCTGCCCCCAAAGCTGTGTTCACATTTGCGAACCTGGCCCTGGGTATTTGGTACACATTTCAAGGAGACATCTATGGCTCTGGAGGAACCTCCTGAAACTTCAGACCACAGAGTGAAAATGCTCTTTCCAGCTTTGGTTTCCAGACCTGATTATACACAGCATAATATAAGGGTAATGTGAGCAAAGGTTGACGAGTTTTGCTCATTATCCGGCTCTCTACACAATGCCCAAATAAGTAAGGTGATCTAGTGGAGTAATGTGTTTGGCCTGGGAGAAAAAATAAACACCAGCCAAATCGCATCTTTCTTTACAATCTTCTAGCTTCAAAATTCAGTTGAACAAGGCCTGAGACTCCCTGCTTTTTTAATGATACCTCAACCTCAATTTCAAATGTACCCTGTTTGTTAAAACTATCAAGTGGACGACCCCATTGCCACAGTGGAGAAAAAACTATTTGTGAGAAAATGAACCACAACTCAGAAAAAATAAGTGAAAAGGCATTTGCATTGACAGAGTGCTAAGTTAAAACAATAATATATCTAGAAAACACTGTGAAAATATGTATCTCAAAATAGAACTAGGTTTAGTCAGAAGGCTCAGTAAAATAATTGCTTAAAAAGCTGATCAATAAAAAGGAGAGCTCAAATAACCTTCCCATTTTTTGACCGTCCTCACTTTCCTGCCCTCAGACTATCAGTGCTATAGCAGACTAATCAATAAGCCATGAAGAAGTGCTGGTATTTTTCAGGATCTCTTCAAGACAATCTCCATCTTGGTCACTTGACCTCTCTCTCTGATCAAGGCAACTGATGGACTTTCAGTGCGTTTGGAGACACAGGCTCAAAGACCTCATCGTCATCTTCCACCCCTTCTTCGATTGGTTTCATCTTGGTGGAGCCCCGCTGGTGTGGGGATGGCACATCTGTCAAAGACACAGAGAGGAAAACCACTTAATGTCCAGCCTGCCCTGATGTTGGTATGATGTATCAATGAGAAACTCCAACCGGAAAGTAAAACTCTCTGGGACTCTATTGCTAGCACTAGGAATGCAATTTCCCTAAATACTGTATTTTCAATTCAGCATTTCAAGAAAACAAAGAAGTCAAGAAATGATTCTCAGTCATGAGAACAGACATGGAATGGATTCCAGCGCATGTGTTTGGATGATAGAAGCTTCTCAAACATACGCAGTTTCCAGTGGGTTGCATTGCCCTAAAGTCTGATTAGGACTCAGAATGCACGTTCCTGCCTTAATAGCATACATGGTGACCCTAGTTCCTCAAAAGCTGATTTAACTCCTAATTTCCCTAAAGAAGAGTTCCATCCTAAAGCTATGGAAGCTAACACCATCTGTAGCACCACCTAAAACAGCAGTTCTTGCCACCACCTGTCCAGTCACTGCCAGGACTGATATGGGAGCGGGAGGGATGGGAGAGAGGGAGGAGGAGAGGTAGAGGGGGATGGGGGAGGGGAGGGGGGAGAGTTCAGGCACACAGGAAGGAAAAGCCAGGTGAAGAAAATACAATCCCAAGTAGCAGAGGGGGCAGGAACATCCCTAAAGTTTTTATATCCAAGGAGTCAAGTGATAAAGGACTCGGTCAGTCCCTCCTTTGTTTGTGCGTTCTTCCACAGAAGGGACACCATGATTGATAAAGAAAAAAAAACGTGGTTTTAAAGTAAGAGTAGAAGTTACTATAAATGGGTGCATAGACTTCTCAAGTGCTTGATGAGCGGCTCCCAGGACAGCATAAACACCCCTCCACAACGTTCCCACATTCAGTGTCAGGATTCATTCTGTCAGGGTCCCTGTCTGCCCCACCCACAGCCGCGTGGTGCCCTGGCTGCCCTCCAACAGGGCGGAATGGTATTCCGTCAATCAGTCAATCAGCAAATACGGACCTCAGGCTGGGCGTAAGGTTGATAATGGAAGAAGGATGGGTGAAACCCAACTCTTCAAATACTTGGTATAGAGCACAGGAGGGTAGTGGGACCCTACTAAGACACATAGCAGAACTGCTACAAGAACTTTATCAAGATCACCTGTTAGTCCCTGCTGACAGGAGATGCTGTGGGTGAACAGCACGGGCAGGGGACCGGCAGAGCCACACAGCCCCAGGGGAGGCAGCACGCACCGAGCTCAAGGCCCCAGGCTCCAAACACAGCTCCCGGGTTCAAAACCCTGCTCTGCTGCTCCCTAGCTGTGTGATCGGCACTCCATCACTAAGCCTCAGTTTCCATATTTGTAGAAGGAAGGGAGATAATCCCAGGGCCCACCTAGTGCCGCTGTTGGGGGATAAAACACAATAACCAGGTCATGGACTCAGCAGGGTGCTGGGCACACAGAAAATGCCGCTCCACGTTTATTACGAACTGCATCGTCCCAGTCACACTTTGGGCAGATGCCACTCCCAACAGCCACAGCTTCCGACATTAAAAAGACTTGATTTAGACTGGCCTGGGCTTTGGTATAGTTGATGTGTTTGCTGTGCCAACATGGAAATTGTTCACTTTCAAGCATTTACAGTCAGTCAAAATACTGAGTTTCTTGAAAGACAACTACAGACATCAACTGTAGAGAATGAGCCTCTATTAAAAGGATCCAGGAACACAATTCTGTCACGAAGCATGGCACGGCAGAATCATCCAGGCAAGTCTTTTGAGCCTTTTCTTGAAGGTGAGAGCACAACCACTAACCACAACCTCCAATTTGCATGTCTACTCAAGTGGCAATGAATACAATCCGTGTGAGCTTGGGCAAGTTACTTCACTTCTCCCTCCCTCAATTTCCCTATCTGTAAAATAGGAAGCATGCTCTCATCTACTTCATAATGGTTGTTAAAAGGACTAAGTGGCTGACTATTTGTATAGTTCTTACCTCAGTGCCTGGGATGCAATAGTCATTTTGTCAGTTTGTAAGTTAATGAAATGAGTTATTAATACGGTCTTTGGAGGGCAATGGACTAAGTAACTAGAAAATTTGTTAAAATTCATGATCACCGGTAGGAATGGCGAATAAAAACAAGCGGGACTTGTACTTGAATGGGGGTTTGTGTTTCTCAATCGAAACGGTCCCATGTGCAGCAAAATTGTCTTTAAAAAATAGCCATGGCTTCTGTCATATGTCTAGCCTCCAGTTATTACTGAGCCTCATAAAACATTAACTCAGGCTGAGTATTTGCAATCAGATAAAAACTCTCTGAACAAACAACAAGATGGCATGTCTAAGAGCATTAAACCGAATCAATAAGGTAGAGCATTCAGACGTGATTGTATAACACCCGTAAAAGAAACACACCCAGTTTATTTTGACTGGGGAAGTGGGACTCATTGCTCTGGGTTTTAGCCCATCTATCAAAGCATAGGATCCTACGGCTGCCATCTACATCCGGGTCAAAAGTTCTCTGCCTTCTCAGCTCCATCACCAATTGGTACATTTTCCCACTGAGAGAGAATGAAGAGAGGACCCAAGACAACTGGAAATGACCTGGTGAAAACCTTCCAAGCACTTTCAACTTCTCCGTGAAAGAATTTGTCTGTTCCCCAGTACATTTGCCAGGGCCAAGGAAGAGCTGTGGTGCTTCCTACATAGCATTAAAAAAGACAGTGGTGCGGGAGTCATTCACAGTCCTGGGGTGATACCCAGGGGTCTCCAAGTCGGGCCTCCTTCCCCTTCCAGTCCAACCTCTGGCAAACTCACTGCTCCCCAAATCCAACTCATCCTTTCCCTCTTCTCTTGCTTTTCTCCCCACCTGGAGTGGCCTCTCCACTCCCATCCCTACCCATCACATTCCTATCCATTCCTCAAGGTCAAGGTCAAACCTCACCTCCTTCATCTGGAGTCTTCCCTAATTCCTTATGTGGAGAGATTCTATTCCCTAGAGACCGACAACCCTTCCAAATTCTGTAGTTCATTGTGATCACAATGAACTTACTTAGGGGGCGCCTGGGTGGCTCAGTTGGTTGGGCGGATGCCTTTGGTTCAGGTCATGATCCCAGGGTCCTGGGATTGAGCCCCGCATCGGGCTCTCTGCTCCACGGGAAGCCTGCTTCTCCCTCTCCTACTCCCCCTGCCTGTGTTCCTTCTCTCACTGTCTCTCTCTGTCAAATAAATGAACAAAATCTTAAAAAAAAAAGAAAAGAAAAGAATTACTTAGTATATGAAACTCCACATGAGGCCTTCAGAAGGCTGAGCCTGAGGACGAGGGAAAGACACACGGCCATCCCCTCTAATCTTGGATGGGTCAATTCCCCACCTGTATTTCTCATGTGCAGGCGGTCTCAGGTTACAGTAAAACCTCACTCTGAAAAGGGACTGTTATTACTATATGCTGTGTCATGTTCCCTGGGGAAATCACTGTCATAAAGTTGACTTCAGCAGTGCTTACAGCATGGGCCTATAGCACGGTTTATAGGAGTGCGTATAGCACAGGCAAGAGCGCCGTCCCCTCAAGTAAACATCAGTAGGCTCGGCGTACGGTCACCGGCCATGACGTTTTCATCCAATCAGCAAACAGTGCCCCTGAGTGATGACAAGGCATTAGAGGCTGGGTTAAATGTTGGGGAACTAAAAGTCTCTGACTCGATCTTACTTTGTTTCTCAGGAACTCAATGCACTTTTCAGAGCAACTCGTGCTCACCACATCCATACAATTTTTCTGCTTTATACTCAGAAGCTAAAGCAAAGACAACCTGGAGAGCCTGTGAAGGAAAAGCGAGTGGGGGAGCTGTGGTGTTCAAATGCCTTCTTCACCAGGAAGGGGGCCACCTCGGCAGGATCACGTTCTGGCAGGATAGACTGCTGGCCCTGACAGCCCGGCAAGATTGCATATTCCTGCTAACGTTCTTTGCACAGGATACTAGATTCACTCTCATTTCAGGCTTCGTGGCGGGGTTAGAGTGCACAGACCCCTCTGGTCCCAGTTCCCACAGCAGCGCCTTGCTGTCCTTCCTTCCCTCCGCCCCACCCCCCCCCCACCCCCAGCAGATGCACTGGAAGGCAACAGGAACTGGATCTCCCTGGTAACCACTGGAAGCTACCTGGTGCCGGCTGGCTGCCTGACCCCTCCATAGGAGTCAAGGTTGCAGAGAGTGCCCACACTTTGTCCCAACCTCAGTTGGCCTGGGCCTCCTGTACCCCTGAAGGCCAAGGGTGATGGTCACCTGGTCTACCTGCGGATCTGTCACTGTTGTGGCCAGGAGAAAGTCAGATTCTGAGGAGCAGGAACTCACTTGCCCTAGATCTGATGCTCTCCAACTTTGACCAGACACCTGCTGGTTCAGTGGAAAGACTGTCACCATCACTATGCTGCCAGAAATAATTTCTTTGTCCACTAATAAATCTAAGCCCAATTTGGAGTGTGAACAACAAAAACCCCCAAAACTATAAAAAAGAAGAGAGCATATTCTGCTTCAAAGGAACTATCTTACATTTCCCAAGTTGAACATTAATAAATTCTTTCTACAAGTTTGCCTGGTTTTTCATTAATTTTATGCACTGATGCATCATCAGAAATTTGCCCAGAAGGCCCAAACCTACCTAGATATAAGAGCACGAGGAGAGGAGAGAGGAAGAAATTGAGCTTATCTTTAGTTAAGTGCTTTTTCAAATTACTTTTGTCCCTCAAGGTCATTACTATGGGGTACATGACCTCCGTAGGATGCTTTACTTTTCATTTATTCCAAATTCTAGGCAGGCAAATAATTCCATATCCATAAATTTTCCAGAAAGCTGATTTCTATCCTTCCTCTATTAAAACCACTTTTATAGTTGGGAAACAGAAGTGGTTAACTATATCCTTTGGTACTTATTATAATTAAGAAGAAATAATTAGCATTATTTTTTGCTATCAGCTATAATTATCTTCTTCTTGGCTCTGGGTGCCAATTAACACAGTTTTTTATAAAAGTATGTAAAACAAATAG